CTATATAGATTGATTGATGCGACTATATAAGTGAAACAACTGTACGTGTTTTGTATCTTTTGCGAGTGAGTCTTTGTATTAATTACAACAGGTAATTTGGTATCAAAGTTCTCTTGCGACTACCAAAAAAACAGAGGAGCTTCCTCTCTCGACAAGGGAGAGTAGTTTTGCTTCAGCCCGGAGCTGAAAACAGAATCGTACGACCCTGTTATAGATCCGTTAAATGCCGTTAGCGTGAGATAATGGTTCTATCTCGAGACACATTTAAATTGCGAGCGTTGTACAGGAAACGAGAGATTGAGGGAGAGAGGGGGGAGGGAGAGAGAGAGAAGATAGTGCGACCGATGGCTGTTTTCCTCGAGACGATAGCACTGAAATTTGCGAGAACAGCACGAGAAAGACGTCGAGCGAGGCTTCGCAGGCGACGAAACGCGGCCGTCAACAGGCGACAGGATATTTTCTCTCTCCGTGTCCTCGCGCACAATCCCTAACACAATTAACTGCAGCAGCCTGAAATCGAATTAGCCCGTATCGGATGCTGCTTAATTTCGCGTCGGCTCGTGTGCACATCGATAGGTACAGTAATTTTCCCGAGCACAAGCGACTAACAAGCGCCTGACAGCGACCGAGTTTTCGCAGGTCAAATAAAGTTGGGTTTGCATTTTTTTTCTTTTGTCTCTCTCTGTCTCTCCTACTTATATCTCGGTCGACACCTCTCGAACGGCGGCATCTCTGTCGGATAACGCGGGTCGCGGCGATCGGGAAATGTGGGTCGCGTAACATGCGAAAAACAGCGGAACATTTCGGAGTCAGCGCGCGCTCGCGTTTATTCTGATAAACGAGAACCGAGTGATTTCGCCCGATGGCGAGGTACGCGGGTAAGTGCTCCGGGGCAATACCTCACGGGGTGTAGTACATCGGTGAGTCTTCGCTGGCCGATGAAAAACGAGATTTACGCCAGGCAGACGCTTTTTACTGCGTAATTCGCTTGTTGGCGTGCGCGACGTGCTTCGCGTACTTCAATTTTGCACAACGGTAAGGCAGACACATTTCCATAGAAATTAAATTAAACACATTCTCTTTGCGTTCACTCGCACACTCGGCCCTCGCACGATTGTATTCGTTCTCACACGACAATAAAAAAACATTTGTGGACATTGACTGAGAAGGATAAAGAGGAAAAGGGACCTTTTATTCGTTTCTAAAACTGAAATCAAGTTTGCGAAAAGTTGATCTCTCTTTCTCCGTCTCTTTCGTAAGACTCGATGCTCTTGATAAGGGAGAGTCGACTCGAAATAGAGCGAAGAATTCGTGCGCGCGAAGAAAAGCGCGGTAGTTCCGACAAACAACACACGGCAGCACACAACGTGCAATTCCGGAGATATCTATAAGATTCGGGGTGCAGTCGCCGTTCCATAAAGCCTCTCCGCTATTTTCCCACTTCCTCAGTTTTCTTTCAACGCGTCCCCGCGACTGAGAACTCGGGCGAAAGAATAAACAGCAGGTATCACGTTTGCCCGGATGGATATTTCACGCCTTTTCTCCGGGAATCTTTGGATATGACGGCCCGCGTGAAAATAATTTAAGCAAGTGGAAAATTGCGAAGAAAATCGACGAAGATACTCCGGGACTGCGACAGAAGCGCAACGCTTTTAATAAAATGAGATATTTTCGATCTTTTGCGTCGCCGGCGGTTGATCGACAGTTTGCAAAATAATGTTTAGGAGGATAGCATTTTTCCCAAGAAAAAAAGAGAGTTGCGAAAACACAACGCATAGGTTGTGTGAGATCCTCGTCAGAAAACGTTCAGTTATTTTATTAAATTTTTCAAAAAGATTCGACAAGAATGGAAACATTTGGAGTGGCCAAATCACAAGAGTAACCCTGTGGTTTCCGAACGAAATCTGCACACAGAAAAATATATACCGCATTCGAGTCAATGTTGCTTGTTTCAAATATTTCATGAGTTTATATATCCGCAAATCTATCATGAGCTCAACAAATGTATTCAAAATATTTTCTGAATTCTACACAGAGGAAGAAATTTGATTGTATTAATATGAATTTTGTAGTTATAACAAACGAACTAACGCGATTTAGTTTTGGTAGAAGAAAACATAATTTCTCTCTTTTTCTTTGATTTTTAGAACCAAATTTGGATCGCAAGAACCAGAATTCTGTGTCTTTCAACCAAAGCGCATTGCTTAGTGTTCATTAAAATCAAATTTCACGTTAATCCCACAAATAAATTTTAAAGTGTTTTTCTTCTCACAAGGTGAGGACCAGGTGACTCACCCTGGGATTTCGACCCCAATTTTTTTAATTATTCTGGAGATGAAAAAAAAGATACGTGTCCCGGCGTTTGATCGAATAGGTCTTAGTTTCGAAGTAATAAATTTGTGAAAATTGGCCATATCCGAAGCGCACCGCGGCGCGCCATATGAGCCTTCCCGGTAAGTGTACTTCATTAAATTTTCTATTTCAAAAATTTGCATACTATATCAATATTATCAAAATAAATAAAAATAAATAAAAACACTCATTAAAAAAAAAATTATTGCTCACCTCCGGGAGCGAACTTGGATCTTACGAATTATTGATATAGTATATTGATATAGTATGCAAATTTTTGAAATAGAAAATTTAATTTAATATCACATTCTAAACATTAATTTAAATTTAATTTTAAGGGAATTTTAATTCAAGTAATAATATTTGAAATAATAAATAAGTAATAATAATAATAATATATAAGTTATTTGTAATGGATAACATATAAAGGTAACGTATCTAAATATCATCAAAATAAATAAAAATAAATAAAAACACTCATTAAAAAAAAAAATTATTGCTCACCTCCGGGAGTGAATTTGGATCTTACGAATTATGAAGCAAGCACTTAACTCACGAAGCCAACTACACTGGTTGGAAGTACACTTACCGGGAAGGCTCATATGGCGCGTCGCGGTGCGCTTCGGATATGGCCAATTTTCACAAATTTATTACTCCGAAACTAAGGCCTATTCAATTAAACGT